CCTCATATTCCCTGAGGAAGCGCATCCGCAAAATGTGTTGGAAGTCAACTTATATCTGCCATAGTGGAAAAAGACCAAAAATGGACATACTTACAAAGATGGACTGCATCATATTTAATTAAATAAGTATTATGGAAGTTAAAAACTGACCTATATAACAGTTATGTGGCAGTGCGAGGCACAATTGAGGGAATTGTTTTTGCAATACTGTTTTTAATGTCGATGATGGATTTTTAATGAAACATGTCAACACCTTTAAATAAGAAATTAAAATAATATAAAGTCCAGTTGTCCATTTCTATACTGAGAGGAAGAGTCCAGCGTGGCTGACAGGGGAGCGTAGGAGGTAGATGTACAAAGCGCTATTAGCGGACTCCTCCTGCGAGCTCCTGCTTGTCATCTTACACCCTTTTTGGTCTGCAATGACTCCACTCCGCAAGAAGTATGTTAAGGGAATCTGGACATACCCTTTAAAGTTCCTACACAGTATATATTTGTATAAGATTGCGCGGTTCTATATAACGCAATGACATTCCGCATATTCTATTATTTGACGTATGAAGACCGCACGCCATTGTATGGCAGGAAAAAAAAAGACAGAAACAACTGTGTATATCGTACTGTATTAATTTGGTCACATTGTGATTATGTTTGTGTCAAATAAAATATTTTGGGAAAAAAATAATAATATAAAGTATATTAAAAAAAAAAGACATCAAATTCTAATTTACAGACATTTAATGCAGCGCTTTACAAGAATGGAACATATCCTGCTCCTAAAATATACAACCAAGTTACATTGTGGCAATTAGATATTTAAAGGATAACTATGAGATGAGTGATTTCCACTCACCTCATAGTTCTAGCCGACCTGTGACAATGAGACTGTCACAGGACGGCTCAGTAGATCGGGAGGTGAGTGAACAGATACCGGATAATTTTTCCCTGACTAGTTGGAAGATAAAAGCTAAAACTGGTGTGGATGCTATGGGAAGCTGCACCATTTTTATTTTTTAAACATACAAGGCCTTGCACTTCTTCCTCACCAGATTCAAAAATCTGGCCAGACAGTATTAGACTTGGTTTAACCATCAAAGTTTAAAGCAACAACCAATGTCAATGCATATATGATTGCTTGAGATTAGCAAGAAGGCAATTCATATCTGCTAAACATGTAACTACCTGTCAAAGCAACTTCTGTCGACACTCTGTCGATAGCAAGGACATCCTCTACTCCATCATCACAAGCTTCCACAAAAAACTTCTCAGGTGTTGTGTGCCTAAAGTTGAAAACAAAAACAAACCTAAAATTATGAAATAGAACTATACAAAAGGTCAGTTAGAAAAAGTATTATGCACGAACACAACTGTAAAGCTTATTTTGCAAGTTCAAACAAGTTTGAACATTTTGGATTCCAATGGCTAAACAGAAGTCTTCTTCATAAAGAGAAAGCAAAACTTGTACATTCCCTTATAATTCTCCTGAATGTAACTTCTTTATAGTACACGCAAAAAAAATTAACTTTTTCAGATCATGTACCAGTGTAACAGTAAGAGTAAGATCCCACATTTGAATTAAAAAAAAAAAGTATTCCCTAAAAGAAGAACGCTGGGCATAAGTATTCTTAACGCTTGCATTGGGGCTACTGCACAGGGATTAAGTGATAATTTTCGTCTAGGGAAAAAGTTATACTCACCTGAACCTTGCAGCTGGCTGGCTGCTACTCCTGTCCCTGGTGCCAGTCTTCTCCTCCGCTCCAGAGATGGAATGTTCCTCTGCATCCTCATGTCCAATACACTGTATAGAACGTGATAACTCACAGGACCTTAGACCATTGGAGCGGAGGAGGAGTGAGGTGGCAGGCACCGGTGTGACAGCCAGCTGCGAGGTTCAGGTGAGTAGAACTATCTTATTTTCCTCCCGAGACAAAAATGAGCGCTTAACCCTTGCAGTGCGGGAGTAGCTTCATTGCAAGGGTTAAGAATCATTATTCCTGGAGTTCTCCTTTACAAGAAAAAAATACTCACCTTTTCCATTGCTGGTAACGCTGATCTTCACTCTCTTAAAAAGCTAAGCTGCTGAAGAATGTGGGAGTGTCACATGTCTAGTCTCCATCTGCTTCTGTGGTTTCCTCAGGGCACTACATGACACAGCAGAGACGTAACTGCCAACTGAAGGAACCAAAGCCTATGGCAAAATAGACATCCAACACACCAGATAGTGTGTCGGATGCTGAAGATCCTTGAACAAGCTTGGCGCTTTCAGAAAGCAGCCATTGGTGGTAAAACAGGCACGTATTATTTGTTGTTTTTTTTTCACAAGAGAGTCGCTTTAAAGTACACCCTGTTGTTAGGTATTTATTGCTGTCTATGAACCTGTTGGGAAATCCAACATTTTCCATCTAGCACCAGAAAAGGAAAGCAGTGAAAATCTTCCCATGGGAGCATCTGTTTCAGTGACAACTGTCTAAGAGGAAACTTATCCTCACTTTGGAGATATTTCCTTTCAGTTTCTAATTTTGTCTCTTACAGATGAAGAGAAGGGAAATATTGCCAATGAGAAAGACAGTTTTTGCTATTGCCTGGAGTATCCAAAACTAACAAGGTTTTGTCTTTAACTTTAATTATAAGTTTTGTAGGGAACAGAAAAAAAATGGTTGCATGTAAAGCTAATCTCTCTAATCAAATATATATTTCTACTCCACAACTCACCCCCTCAGTGTCTTTGCGTATTACTAATCTACTAACTGACATATCAGTCTGGATGTCACACTTCCTAAAACTCAACCTTTCAAAAACTGAGCTCATGAAATTTCCTCCTGCCCATGCGCCTTCCCCCAACCTTTCCCTTGAGATTGATAAACACAACTATCCAGCCCAATAGCCCTCCAATAGCCCAAAAGATAAAAATTAAAATTTTAACAATCACTTACAAAGCCATCCACAATTCTGCCCCTGGCTATATCTCAAACCTGGTCTCAAAGTATCACCCCAACCGTCCCCTCCACTCTTTCAAAGACCTCCTGCTTTCCAGCTCCCTTGTCAATTCCTCCCATGCTCGCCTCCAGGGCTTCTCTAGAGTCTCTCCCATCCTCTGGAACTCTTTACCCCAACCTGTCCTTATATCTCCCACCCTGACTGCCTTTAGGCGATCCCTAAAGACTCATCTCTTCAGGGAAGCCTATCCCACCTCAACCTAACCACTGAGCCATCACTTTCTCAAATAATTCATCCCCACACAGCTACCTCCTCATGTATCACTGGGCCCTCCCTTTTAGATTGTAAGCCCTCAGGGACAGGGCCCTCCTTACCATCTTGTCTTGAATTGTATTGTAATGTCTTCCTTATATTGTAAAGCGCTGCACAAACTGTTGGCGCTCTATAAATCCTGTATAATAATCTCAACAAGTGCTCTTTAATAATAAAGTATTGGAAACCACTGGACCATTAAAGAACACCTTTCCCATATCAAATATCAGTTTAAGGTGGAAGTGGAGTCCTCACTACATGCTACAGATACTATGAAGATTTAAGATAAATATACAAGGATAGTTCAGTGAGGACTGCAGTGCAAAGGCCGAACAGGAGGTGCATTGGAGTGACATTCAAATGAGCACTTAGCTCACAGTAATGCACAGTAGGTGCATTGTGAGGTAGCATGCGTTAAACGCACAGTACCTTGTGATTAATGCTACGCTTAGGTGTGAACAGGCCCTAAGGGTTTTAGAAAAAAAGGTTGCCTAAACTAAAACATTATTGAAAGCCTTCAACATTTGTAGTCTATCCTACTCAGTAAGCACTTTCAGCACTCACATGTGTGAACAGTGGCTAGACAATGAGACCTGAGGTTATCAATAGGGATGAGGTTCATATTAAACTGCCACTTGGGGTTCGAGGCAGTGCTCACATTTTCAGTGAATCTATTGTGAAAAATTCACACCCCAAACCCATAATTCATTGCAAGACATTTTTTTCCCAGGTCATTGAGAGCCAATAATCTGAAGAAATCAGCCTCCTCACTGATGCACATATAATCCACTGGGGAGATGGTTAGTGAAATAAATGGTATGACATGGAGGGGGGAATTTATCAAAACTGGAGCAGACAAAATCTGTAGCAGTTATGCATGGCAGCCAATCAGCTTCTCTCTTCAGTTTGTTCAATTAAGGTTTGAAAATGAAAGAGAGAAGCTGATCAGTTGCCATGCACAGCTGCTCCAGATTCTGTCTGCTCCAGTTTTGAGAAATTCCCCTCAGGGTTGCTTTAAAGTGACACTAAACTCAGCAGTTAAATCTTAAAAATACATTCAAGTACCTTAACTATTAACAAAATGTAGATTATGTGTGTATCACTCGGCTGTAGATCCTCAAATAATCTCTGAATGTGTGCTGACACTGTCCTTCCTTCTGGAGGGTGGCTACTTTTGTTTCCCCATAATCCCTGTGTTTTGTAAAGTAGCCACTGCTCCAAGCTTGCTCCCATGAAGGACTACAATCTCAACACAAATTAGTAAACTAAACAAGAGATTGTAGTCCATCACGGGAGCGAGCTTGGAGCGGTGACTACTTTACAACACACACAGGGACCATGGGGAACAAACGTAGTCACCCTCCAGAAGGAAGGACAGTGCCAGCATGAACTCAGAGATGATTTGAGGATCTACATTTGAGTGATACACACATAAGATATATTTTTGTTAATAATTAAGGTACTTGAACCCATTTTTAAGATTTAACTCCTGAGTTTAGTGTCACTTTAAGGGATGAGGTATCAGTAAAACAATCTAGGAGAGATATGTATACCCCCTTCCAAGACACAATCCCTTTCTCTCTCTCTGTCACACAGGTTTACATTAAAGCTTAACTCTGGGCACAAGAACATTTATTTAATGCGATCGCTCAATAGCCACAAAAGGATACAAATCTACTTTGTGGCAATCAAACACTAGATTGTAAGCTCTCACGAGCAGGGCCCACCTAACCCTAGTGCACGGAAAATGTACTGAAACTGTACTGTCTGCCCCTTTTTGTAAAGCGCTGAGCACACTGTTGGCGCTATATAAATCCTCTATTATAATAATAATAATATTAATTAGGGATGCACGGATACCGGTTTTTCGGTATGGAGTACCAGTAACGATATTTTGCTTTTGGTACTCGCCGGTACCCATACCAGTGCTTCCGCTGGCATGGAGCCGGCTTCCCAAGGCAATCAGGAAGCCGGGCAGCGGGTAATGACGCACCGCCCGGCTTCCTGATTGCCCGGGAAGCCGCCTCCATGTTGTTTGGCTGGCTCGATGCTGATTGGCTGGGAAGCCGGTTTCCCCAGCCAATCAGCATCGAGCAGGTACTATATATGTGTCACAAAAACTACAACTGACCACTTATTGTCACCAAATCCATAGAAAACGTGGAGAAGTCTGGTTGGACATTATCTACCATCACTGGCCATAAACTCCTCTTGAAAGGATTACTAAGGTCTGGGCGTTTTTTATCCTAAAGGAGAACTATGAGGTGAGTGCTTTTCACTCACCTCATAGTTCTAGCCGACCTGTGACAATGAGACTGTCACAGGTCGGCTCAGTAGATCGGGAAGTTAGCGAACACATACCGGCGTTCGCTCACTGCCGTGACAGGGGAGGGACTGGATTCCCCCCTCCCCGCTCCGAACCCCTGAGAGCCACACAGCGCTCCCAAGGGCCCAGTCCCCCTGCATGCCGCACAGACCCCCTGAGAGCCCATACCCTCCCCCTGAGAGCCCATACAGCCAACCTGAGAGCCCGCACAGCCCTCCAGAGACATCAGGACATCACCCCGGAGCAACACAGAGTATGCAGCCTTATATTATTTTGCATTGCTGTTAAATGTATTTCTGGGATTTGCAGTCCTCAATAGCTGATGGTCTTATTCTGCATTTCTGTATAATGTATTGTTGGGATTTGTTCTTCTCTATAGTAGGTGTTATTCTGCATTGCAGTATATTGTATTTCTGGGATATGTAGTCCTCTATAGTTGGTAATATTCTGCATAGTTGTATAATGTATTGTTGGGATTTGTAGTCCTCTATAGTTAGAGGTATTCTGCACTGTAGTATAATGTATTGCTGGGATATATAGTCTTCCATAGTTTATGGTATTCTGCATTGTTGTATAGTGTATTGCTGGAATATGTAGTCCTCTATAGTTGGCGGTATTCTGCAGTGCTTTATAATATATTGCTGAGATTAGTACCTTTACAGGTTGGAGTCAGTGGCAGAACTACCAGGGTCACAGCGGTCACAGCTGCAACTGGGCCCTGGTCCTCTACCACTGGCTCCAAGCTGTAGAGAGACTGTTCCCTTGCAGTGTGCTGTGTGACATGTACCTTAGTAGCACACTGCTATGGAACACTTCACTCATTAGCACAGTACATGTCACTCTGTAGTGTAGTTAAAACCTCTTGTATTGTATTTTTCTTCTAAGATTTAAGCACATAATTAGTTTAGACAGTCGTATAAAGTATTTTCTGAAATAAATCATCCGTATTCAGGTCTAAGTGCAGGGTTGGCACTTTGAGACAGATAAGTTGGTTTAGTCATCCATTTTGGGCACTTGGGCTCAAAAAGGTTTGCCATCACTGCACTATGTTATGTATTACATAGTCCTTTTTAAACCTCTTTTTTTTCAAAACAGTTGCTCGCTGGTAGTTTGCAACTAATAAAGTTCTTTTTTAGGTGGGGGTCAAAGAGTTAGGTGTGTGTATATATTTTAATCCTCACTCAGCACAGTAATTTTGAGTATTTTGTGGATACAAGAACTGCAGGCTGTGTACAATATATAGAAACTGACAATGTCCAATCCGCCACAGTTCCTGATCTGCAGTATTTTGCGACTGAGTCATTTGTGGGCAATATTTTAAATAAAGAATTTGTTTGTTTGTTTTTTTTATTATGGGGTGCACTATGTTCTGTGTCTGTTTCTATCCTGGGTGGACCTAATGTGGAATTGCTGACTTTCGAGTACTGCTGTGGATGAATAAGAGAACTACTAGAAGTTGGTAACAACAATATCAGACCCGTTTCAAAGGTCTGAAACCAAGTTGAGCGCTGTTTCATTGGGTGTTCACGCGATGGAAAGGATCTGGTGACAGCAAGAGTGTGGATTACACATTTGCACCTTTATTAACAGATATTGGTGTTTGGAATTTTTGTTAGAAGTTTGGAGCATATGTGCATAATTTTACAAACACTTGGATTGGTTATTATATGAAGGACTGCATGGACATTTCTTAAACTTATGCCTTGTGATTAGGTACATGTAACAAATATAAAGTAGATGTTATCCCAATTTGGCTGCAAAAGCGGAAATACATTTCAAGGAGAAAAACCTGCGAAGTGTAACTATAGGAAAAATAAAAAGTGACATACATGATGCAGTCTGTCACCAGCCTTAAGTAGGGTGCTCAGCCAAGACATGGCCAACAATCCAAACTCAGGCATCCAGGAACACTGTGGTCTGTCACCTTGACAAAAGGGACCACCATGTTCCCAAAATGTCAGTGAGGGGAAATGATCAAAACTAGAGCAGACAGAAACTGGAGCAGTTCTATCTTTCCTTTTCAAAGCTTAACTGAACAAACTAAAAAAAAAAAAGAATCTGGTTGCCATGGGAAACTGCTGCAGATTGCGTCTGCTCCAGTACTAGTATCAGTGCCCGTAAGTACTCGTACACGCACACGCACAAATGCTCCGATACTTACCTCCGATACCAGAAGTTCCAGTCAGAGGGAGATCCGCCTCCTAACTTCCTTATAATTGGGGCACCTGGCATCGGCGAGTACCGGAAAAAAATATTGATACTCGATACCGAAAAAACAGTATCGGTGCATCCCTAGTATTTTTATTTCTTTCATGCAAGCTATGTTGTTATCGCAACTAAGACCTCAGTCAAATTTCACATGTACCTCAAAAACTGTAATAGCAGCATGCAAGGTGCAGCAACCAATCTGATTACTATGTAGAATTGGCTACTAATGGATACCTGCTCCAAGGAGCAGGGCCCTCCATACAGTCGTCTTGAATTGTTTTGTGACTGTGCCGTCTCCCTTTATTTTGTAACGCACTGCACAAACTGTTGGCACTAAATCGATCCAATAACAATAATAATAATTTCATTCTTATGGCCTAAAGCACTTGCTACACACTCATTGCACCACTCCATTACACACAGGGCCTATGCTTAATCGGTGATCATTAAACATGAATGGACATGCTGACAAAAACAGATCCATATAGTAAACACATACGATATTAAAACCAAGGGAAACAGAACATTTCAGTATAGTAAGCACAAGTATCATTGTTGTGTAATGTTGAAAAAAAGTAGACTAGGATTGTATGGTGTGCATCCATAACGCAGCAAGACTTTAAAATATACTTAAAAAGCATGATCCACTAAACAGCAAGCGCATAGTACTACTAAACATTCAGGAATATCGTCGTTTCACTTGTACCCATAAAAGAGCTATGACACCTCACACCCAATGTGTCGTCCATGTATTACGTGGCAGTTACTCACAGTTTCAGGTTCTCGTAGAGCAGCGCCATGTCTCTAATGTTCACAGACGTACACACCGGAATGCCAAACAGAGAATGTATAAAATGGTTTTGTACAACAGGACCCAGTGCAAGCGAGTCACATTCTGTACTGTACACCAACTTCCTCTGACGTCACCAATAGCCGACATTTCATACTACGGTGGCTGATAAGTATCAAAGTCTTTGCTGTTCAAGGACGCAGCAAGAGGGAGCTGGCAAATTGTTGTCATAAATTAGTTTACCGAGGAGGAAGGTACAGGGAATTTCGTACTTCGGAAATGAGGATTCGTTCGTGTTACAGTGTTTTATCTTAATTATAGCGAAGGGCTGCCATTGCTAAATTGATTTTAATAATGCCAGTTGCCTGGCTGTCTCTGGCCATTTTTTTTTTTTATGAAAATTATTTATTTTGTGTATAAAGTTGAGCACTGAAGTTAACAATTAGAAGGTTATACCGTGCAGTAAAGGCATAAGAAAGAAGAATACGAAAAACACACAAGGCAGCTTGCTATTTGAAACACGGGCTGATTTATAAAAGCTTTACCCCCTGCACATAGCTGGGCGAACGTGTTTGCATGGGATGCATAAGAGTTCAGATGTTCTTGTGTCCTGGAAAAACTACCCTTAGGGTTCATTAACACTTTTCCACTCTTGTGTGTTACGGTCATTCTTTGTGTCAATAATAAAGTGCTTTGTGTTATTGCAGCCCAATGATTATGAGTGGGTTGCCAATGCATAAGAATGGACAAAAAGAAAGTACATGCAACATTTTTTCTGACACGTGCACCACAATGCACGATACTGCATTACTGTGCGTTGTGTGCTGCAAAGCTGGAATATCAGAGATTGCAATCCGTGCGTTAGGGTGCCATTTAGCAATAATGTGAAAGCGTGATTCGATTTGCATTTCAGTGATTTTTTTTTCTGATGTGTTTTCCTTTTAAACCAATGTGAATGCATCAAAACGCATGTCAACATATCTATGTGCTCCAGTTTACTGTGTTTTGACATGAAAATTATATGGGCCCATTTACACCTACACATATAGAGTAGTGTGAATCCAGACTAAAACATACATCAATTCATATTTACATGCACTTCTATAATTTGAATGCAAAATGCATAACACAACACACAAAGGTGTAAATGGACCCTTAAATAAGAAGTCTCACTTTGTGTTATTTTTCACAGCTCAGTCACCAAACTCTCACAATGTATTTTGCTTTGTATCCCATGCTTCTGTGAAGAGAAGACAAAAGTTACAGACTTTGTCAATTTACTCCTATGAAACAAGGTTACTAAAGTTAAACTTGTTTACGCTGGAAGTGAGGAGATTAGGAGGGGACATGATTTTGATGTACAAAATGTTTAGTGGTGACGGCAACATCAGCAATAAACCTTTTACAGTAAACTCTGTAACAAAGACTAGAGGACACCACCAAAAACTGGTGGAGAAAAGATTTAAGCACAAGGGGCATAGGGGCTTTTTTTCAGTCAGAGTGGTTACATTCTGGAACTCGCTGCCACAAGCAGTTTTATCAGCAGAGAGTGTTGAATCATTCAAAAATTATTTAGATACTTTCCTCAGAGACCGCAACATACAGGGGTACAGAAACTCTTAAATACTAGACCACACAAGGACTCGTGTACACACACGCACATGCACAATCACATACAGACACACAAAGGTTGAACTTGATGGACCTGTGTCTTTATTCAACCTCAAATACTATGTAACTGTGTAACTCCACTTCATTCCCAACTATTAATTGCAAAAAAGATGGTCTCTTGATTGACAGTCAAAACCGGGCAATGATAGGTAGAATCCAATATCAGGCAGGTTTTCATACAAATTCAATATTTATTACCTTTTCTACAATGACAGGCTACAGCTCCGCAGTGTCAATTTGGATTATTACTAACATAACAAAAAGTTCCCAATTCATGGACATTAGGGAAAGCTGTAGGCTCCGTTTTTGTTTTTAATACATAGCAAGCCATGATTGAATGTAAATAAATACCCCAACAAATACTCCCCCTAAAGTGCAACATGGCAACTTAAAAAATAATACAATAACCCCCCCTAAAAATGGTACCGGATGGGTCTCATAAATAGTGTGTAAAGTCTCCGAACATGGTAACATACATATCTTACATGGCTGAATCCCTTGTAATCACAGTATAGTAATGCTGATCGTGAAAATGCAGTCTAAAGAGGACATTGGCTGGGAAAACAGGATGAACAGGTTCAGTGGTATGTCCAAATATGTAGAGATAGACTATATATCACTCCATTACTCTGCGCCATAGTGGAGATGGCGCAGGCGATACAGCAGAGTTACAGAAGACAGCCTGGCTAATTCGAATAGTGGATTAGATTAGCGGGCGCTCTCGCACTGTAGGTGGCAATGGAGATGAGAGCCAAGCAAGTCCCTCCAGGGGAAACCGGCAGGTGTCTCTGTCCATAGACACCCAGATCTTGCTGTCACGGTGGACCTGTCAGTCTAAGACCCTATTGAGGTGGACTGCCCTGTAGTATGATTGAAAATCGATGCAAAAAAAAATTGGCGAGGCCTGGAGCAGATAAAGAACCCGGGGCAGGATGTTCATCTTAATGGTCGCACATCTACCAAACCACGAGATAGTAAGAGAGGACCAGAGCTTAAGATCTTTTGGTATCTCGTTGGTAAGTGGGACAAAGTTAGCAGCATATAAATCTAGATGATCCGCCGTAATATGTGTACCCCAGTATTTAAGTCAAGACCTGGCCCATGTAAAAGGGAAATCAGTGCGCAGGCGAGAGAGGACATTGGTTGGTAGGGTGATATTTAAGGTAGACGACGTCGGCAAGTTCATCTTGAAGTCTGAGAGGCGACAGAAGGTAAGTCATCCAGAGCCGACAGAAGGTAAGAGGCGGAATGCAATGGATCGGTGAGGAAAAATATTAGATTATCTGAATATGCCGCCACTTTCTGTTCCCCCGAGGGGGTACGGAAGCACCGTATGTCCATCGTTTGCCTGCTAGTGCCTAGAGTTAGGGCAAAAATTAGAAGCGAGAGTGGGCATCCCTGGAGCGTACCATTAGATAAAGGGAAATCCGTAGATCTAGTCTCGTTCACCTGTACTGCTGCAGATGGCGATGCATAGAGGGCAGAGATCCATTTGAGCATGTTGGCACCGAGGCCTATATGATGTAAAACGGCCTTCATGAATCCCCGATTGACCCTATCGAACGCCTTTTCGGTGTCAGGAGAGAGCAGCACTAAGGGTTGCTTTTGGGACTTTGCTAGGTGGATAATATTCAAGACCCTGGTGGTGTTGTCTCTGGTAGGGATCAACCCTACTTGTTCCTGGTGGATGAGGTGGGGCATGAATGGGAGTAACCTATTTGCTATTATTTTAGAAAACAGTTTCGAAACCACGGTCAATAGGGCTATAGGTCGATAATTACCACATATAGTCGGGTCACAATCTGCCTTCGGTATGAGAGAGATCTATGCCGGAAGCATGTACCCCAGAATTGGGGAATCCTGTAAAATGGAATTGTATGCTGAAAGAAAGTGGGCAGACAGCTGAGGGAAGAATGATTTGTAGTAAACTACGGAGAAGCCGTCCGTGCCCGTGGCTTTCCCGGGTCTAGCCGATTTCACCGCAGACTCCAGTTCTGACAGGGAAATAACGCCTTCCAACATCTCCCTGTCTGCAGACTGTAGAGTTGGCATATTGGAGTTACTGATGTAAGAATGTGTCACGAATTGGAACTCACGGGTATGAACTGGAGTCAGGTATGTGAACCCTTTCTACTACACTGGCAGGGACACTTAGAGAAAAGGGTCTAAGCAGTGTAGGTTGACGACTCCCAGAGCTGAAGTACAAGCAGGGAATGGAGCTGAAGAGCTAAATGAGGCAGTGGAAGTCAGCTTAAGCTGGAAGTTCAAATACAAGGCAGGGTGCTGCAATGCTGAGTAGGTGGCATGGGGTGCTGAGTAGGTGCCATGTGGTCCCTCAGGATGTGGAATCTAAGGGCCAGCCGGTATTCGCCAGAGCTCCTGATGGTGGAGATGGGCTTGGCTGCATGCTGACCCCAGGTCACAATCCCTAGCTCCACCCAACTCACCTAACAGGTACAGGGTACAAATCGAAGGTTAGGGACAGGCTGAAGACTAAGACTTCCAGGGACAAAGCGAAGCACAGGGTAGACTGTATACAGGGATTTCCAAGGACAAAAGCACAGGGCAGACTGTAGACAGGGATTTCCAAGGACAAAGGGAAGCACAGGCCCAGATAGCAAGCAGTGGAGCTGCAAGTTTGAAAATGACTTGCTAAACTATTGCAGACTTGCCAAGCTTCACAATTTTGTTGCACAATTACATCAAGTCTGCATTGCAAGTCTCCAGACCAGCAAGCTTGCAGAGCTCTTGCTAAGACCTGCAGGACTCTTGCTGTAGACTTGCTAAGCAAATTTGCTACAAATTCAAAAAGTGTCAACTAGAACTTCTGCTGCAAGTGCTCTGCAAGTCTACAACTTGCCAGGAATATGTGCAGCAAGTTAACAAAATTACAATTTCACCCCGCCACAAGTTTGTAGCAAGTTATCCTTGCTATCTGGGGGGCAGACTGTAGACAGGGATTTCCAAGGACAAAGGGAAGCACAGGGCAGACTGTAGATAGGGATATCCAAGGACAAAGTGAAGCACAGGGCAGACTGTAGAAAGGGATATCCAAGGACAAAAGCAAAGCACAGGGCAGACTGTAGACAGGGATTTCCAAGGACAACGCACAGGGCAGACTGTAGACAGGGATATCCAAAGACAAAGCACAGGGCAGGCTGTAGACAGGGCTATCCAAGGACAAGCCAAAGGTTCGGTACACGGGAAAACTTCCAAGAATTCAGGCTCAATCGCAAATGGCGGACTCGGCAACTAGCTTGGGAAAGCGTTGTTCGGGCAGCGTGCCGTTCGCTGCCCTGAGTTTAAATAGAGACAGGAAGAGGGAGGATCCACAGGATTGGCCACAAGCGGACTGCACTGATTGGCCGAGAAGCAGTATAAGAAACAGCAGGAGAGGTTGGCCAACGCCTAAAGCTGCCAGACTGGTGCAAGTGTGAGTCAGGTTCAGATCACATGCCTGGAGGACTACA